TTTTGTTTCACTAACATCCTTAATATATATCCATGTTGATACATATAATTTAATTTACTCATTTTTTTGTTTAAATGGAAGTCATTTGATTTATCCCATTATGCAGACATCTACATTGTCCTCAGTGTTGTTTTGAGGTTTTCACTACTACAAACAGTGCTTCATTGAACAGTTCTTGTTTTCTTTTTCTTTTTCTTTCTTTTTTTGAGACAGAGTCTTGCTCTGTCACCCAGGCTAGAGTGTAGTGGCTCGATCTTGGCTCACTGCAATCTCTGCCTCACGGGTTCAAGCGATTCTCCTGTCTCAGGCTCTTGAGTAGCTGGGACTACAGGCACGTGCCACCACGCTCAGCTAATTTTTTGTATTTTTAGTAGACATGGGTTTCACCATGTTGGTCAGGCTGGTCTCACACTCCTGACCTTGTGATCCACCCGCCTTGGCCTCCCAAAGCGCTGGGATTATAGGCATGAGCCACCACGCCTGGTTCCTCTTGCCAGTTTCTGGTGTTGACAGCAATTCTTGGTGTTCCTTGACTTGCAGATGCATCAATCCAGTCTCTGCCTCCACAGGGTTCTCTCTATATGTCTTTACCTGCTATCCCCTCCTTGTGTGTGTCTCTGTGTCATGTCCTCTTATAAAGACGCCAGTCACATTGGAGTAAGGGCCCCCTCTAGCCTAGCAGGACTTCATTTCAACTTAACAGTGGCAGAGACCCCACTTCCAACAAAGTCGCATTCTAAGGTTCTGGAAAGGACACGACTCTTTGGGGGACATTATGTAACCCCGTACAAGTACCATGCAAGGGAAATTTGAGTGAGTGGAGTACAGCACCTGAACCAGCAAGACAGGAAGCCAGGAGCAGCAGAAGGGCAATGGAAGGGCGAGAAGCAAGTGAGGGTGGCAGAGTTTCCTTGCTTTGCAGCTCTTCACAGGGGCCCAGAGAGTGCTTTTAGTACTGAGGATGTACAGTCACGCACCGATTAATGTTTTGGTCAACTGCATACATGATTGTGATCCCATTATAAGATCATAATGCTGTATCTTTACTGAACCTTTTCTACATTTAGATACACAAATACCATTGGGTTACAATTGCCTTACAGAATTCAGTACAGTAACGTGCGGTACAGGTTTGTAGCCTAGAAGCAATAGGCTACACCCTGTTATTCTAGGTGGATAGTAGGCTCCATCTAGGTTTGTGTAAGTACAGTCTATCATGTTAGCAGAAGGACGGAATCACCTAGTAACACTTTTCTCAGAACATGTCACTGTCGTTAAGTGAGGTCTGACTGCACTTGAAACACCAGGACCAGAATGGAAGGCTGCACACTGTAACCCATCCTGCTTCCACCCAGTTTTTTCAAGTCCGGACTTTCCTTTTTACCCTTTCAGAAGAAGGGAAGAGGCTTAATATTGTAAATCAAACAAGACTTGAAATTGGGCAATGTCAGTTCAAGTCATGATTTGACTTTTAACTTTGTCACTTTGGGCAAAGTATTTGAGCTCCGTCTGTTTCCTCCTCCTTACAATGAGGATGTTGGACGGTTTTCCTGTCTGTAAAAGGGGATGTTGAGGATGCTCAGCGAGGGTGCTTCTGCTTCTATAAGCTATTGCTCTAGGAGGAAGCAGTGGAACTATGCATCCTGTCCCTGGTCAGGGGCTAGACTTTCAATATGACTGGTGGCTATCCCCATGTTTTACCAAGTATATCAGACAGCATTTGTAATTGTAAACAATAGAAATCGATTATCTTGAGCAAAACAGGGATTTGTTAGAAGGTATTAGGGACTGGTACCTGATCAATTTGGTGCAGGTACCTTCTTACTGTAGATGTGATCTTGTCTCTTCCAGGAGCCCTCCATGATTGTATCACTTGCACAACAGTAAGCATCTGGACAAGAGTTTTTTCGTTCTGCCCTTCCTTTTCCCCTTCCCCTTCCCCTTCCCCTTCCTTCTTTCCCATCCTCCCTCCCTCCGTTCTTTTCTCTCTCCCTTTCACTCTTTCATTTTGAGCGAGTTTCACACTGTTGCTCGGACTGGAATGCAGTGGCACGATAGTGGCTCGCTGCAATCTTTGCCTCCTGGGCTGAAGCAATTCTCCAGTCTCAGCCTCCTAAACAACTGGAACTACAGGCATGTACCATCATGCCCAGCTAATTGTTGTATTTTTAGTAAAGACAGGGTTTTGTCACGTTGCCCACGTGAGTCTCAAACTCCTGGGCTCAAGCAATCCATCGGCTTTGGCCTCCCAAAGTACTGGGATTATGGGTGTGAGCCACTGCGCCCAGCCTGATTCTTTTTGTAAGACAGAGTCTCGCTCTGTTGCCCAGACTGGAGTGTGGTGACATGTTCATAGCTCACTGCAACCTGGAACTCCTGGGCTTAACAGATCCCCCCGCCTCCATGCCACCACGCCCTGCTAATACATTAATTTTTTGTAGAGACAACATCTGGACATGGTGCTCAGGCTGGTCTCGAATCCCTGACCTCAAGTGAACCTCCCACCTTGGCATCCCGAAGTGCTGGGATTACAGGTGTGAGCCTCCCTATCTGGCCTGGGGAAGAGTTTAAGTAGGTGAGTTATGGGAATATATCTTAGCTGTGCTGGGTATTGGTAGGGCAAAGATAAGATTTCTTCCAAAAAGAGAGCGAGTGCTGATGGGAAAAAGGGTTCAAGACAGCCAAGAAGATAACACGTTTATGGCCAAAAAGTGTCTGAAATTCAGCCAAGCATGGCGATTTTAATAGTATATCTAGGCTAATATCTCTACACTGAAGTTGTTGCTATATTATTAATATTGTAATCACTATTTAGTGGTAAAGGATTTATATTCTGGAATCGCAGAGGCCTAAGCCTAAATTCCAGCTCTGCCCTGTTGTAGCTGTGACTTGGGGAGAGTGAATTTCTGCCCTCACACTGTACAACTCAGTTTCCTCATCTGTAAGGTAGGGATGATGTTAATACTGACCTTACTGGATTGATATGAAAATTAAAGGACATAATATATTCAAAAGAACTGAAGGCAAGGCTTGACTCATTAGGCCCCTAGTGGTTTTTGTGCATTATTTCATGAAATCTTACAACTATTTGGCGTAATTTGTATCAAGCCCCTTCACTCCCCCTTTACAAAAGTAGAAACTGAGGTTACAACTGAGAAACTTGTTTGAGGTCACACAGCTGTCTGACCTGTCAAAGCTGTGCCTCTGGTCCAGCTCTGCCAGACTCAGAATCCCCGGGTCTTAACCATACATTCAAGTGTCTCCTGGAAGAGTCAACTCTTCCCCACCCTTCACAGCCCCATTGCTATGAAAAAGGCTCATTAACCTCCTGCTGCACAGCTCCTGCTGGTTGTCTGTTTTAGAAAAATAAGGAGACACTGGCATCCCAAGGCAGTAAGATTGAAAAGTTTGCTTCTTTTCTTTTTGAGACGGAGTCTTGCTCTGTCACCCAGGCTGGAGTGCAATGGCACTATCTCTGCTCACTGCAACCTCCATTTCCTGGGTTCAAGCAATTCTCCTAACTCAGCCTCCCAAGTAGCTGGGATTACAGGCACCTGCCACCACAACCGGCTAATTTTTGTATTTTTAGTAGAGATGGGGGTTTCACTGTGTTGGCCAGGCTAGTCTCGAACTCCTGACTTCATGATCCACCTGCCTTGGACTCCTAAAGTGCTGGGATTACAGGCGCAAGTCACCGATAATTACCGTTTGTTGTGTTTCCCACTAACCTCTGCCAATTCTGTTTCAACCTCCATTCTCCAATCATTGTAATTAGGTATTTCAGAATTGTGTTGCATTTCAATCACAGTAACAATAATGGTAGCATTTTATTAATAAATCAAGTAAAAACTGAAAATGACAATGATAGTGTATGACACACAACAAATGACATCAACTTTGCATCACCTAAAGTTCCAACTTTTCTGTTATGAATCTGGATTTCTTGTGGAGTATTGTATATTGAACATAGGAAATAAGATTACTGTACGTGAACATTTTGTAACTAACAACTTTCTCGAGATATAATTCAGGTAAAAACTCACACCTGAACAACTATTTTTTTCTAGCCTTTTTTTTCTCTGTACTTTCAGTTTTCTTTTTAAACGGTCCATACTATTCAAGAAACAACTTTTAAAGTCCACAATAATTCTTTAAGTTAGATTTTAATGATACTTATCTGCCCCCAAGCTCTATTGAATAATAATGACATTCATTTTTAATCACTTTTCATCATGAGAGAAACACAAATTTTCCTATTGATTTCCTATGGACAAAAATCAAGTTTTCGTGGTACTTTTACATTAGTAGCATGTTCAGCCAGTTTCCAAAGACATTAGTCAAGTCCCCAACATGCAATTTGCATATCACACTACCTTGGAATTCGGCGGCACAAACATCAGTGAACTATTACTTGTACAAAACCTCTCTGAAAACAACTAAAAGGAAAAGTAGATGGCTCGAAACAAGGAATGTTTGGTTTTTTTAAGAGCAATTTTTCACGATTCAGTCGAGAAGGTGTGGGGAGAGCCTCCCCACTTGTGGCTCTGCACGGCGTGCGCGCGCGGCAGTCCTGGGGTCTCCTCCCCGCGGGGACAAGGCCGGGGTCCCTGCGCGAGCCCAGCGGACCTGACCAGTGTGGGGGTCCCGCTGCCGGTCGCAGGGGCACGGGGACCGCGTCCGCCAAATTCACGGGGCCTGTGGGCGGGGGGGTGAGGAGACTTTCCTTTCCACGTTAGCCAGGGCCACCCCAGCCGGAGGGAAGTCACCTGGGACCCTCGGGGCTGGAGGAGCAGCGGCCTGCAGCCACCGGCGGAGGGGAGCAAGAGGACGCGGGGGTGGGAAGATCCGGGCTCCGCGCCCCGCCCGCCCCACGACCCTGGCCCGGCGCTCCTCCCCTCGGAACCCCCCACCCAGTGCCCGGCCCCCGCCCCGCCCCGCCCCGCGCGGCCCCCAGTCCTAGCCCCGCGCTCCCCGACGCCCCGCCTGCGCCGCGGGCCCGCGTAGTGGGCGCGGGGCGGCCCGCTGGGCTCCTCCGCACCCGCTCCCCGCTCGGGCCGAGGCGCCGCGGCCGCGCGCCCCTCCTGGAGGAGGAGGAGGAAGGAGGCGGGAGGAGGAGTTGCCGAGAAGAGAAGGCGAGCGCGGCAGTCGCGCCGGCGCTGGGCGAGGAAGCCGAGCCGGGCCGCCTCCGGGTGAGCGTTCGGGGAGCCCGGGCGGGAGGCTGGGACCGGGCTTCGCTGTCCGCCTCCGGCTCGTCCGCAGCCCCGGGCACTGGCCGCCGGGCTGGTTTCCGCCTCGGGGCTCAGGGGGCGGATCCGGCGCGGGCCGGGCCGGGGAGGCCGCCGGGCGCGGGGCTGCAGCAGCGGGTCTGGGTCAGCGCGAGGGCCTGCGCCGCCTCGGCGGGTGCGCGGGTGGGGGTCGGGGCCGGGGAGCCGGGGCCGGGAGCGGGGACGCGGGAACCGGGAAGCCGGGGCCGGGGCGCGGCGGCCCCTGAAGGGCTGAGGCCTGCGCGGCCGCGGGCGGCTCTTCCCGACCTCTCGGCCTCTTCGGCCGCGGCGCGCCGGCCCGGGCCGCCGCCTTTGTTGCCCGCAGCTCGCCGGGGAGAGGCCGGGGCTTGGCGAGGCCTGGGCGGCGGCGCGGGGCCTGCGCGGCTCAGTGCCCCGGCCGGGTCCCTGCTCCGACCTCCGCGGGCTGGGGGTCGGGGCGCGGCGAGGCCGCAGGCGTTAGGGCGGGCCCGGGGCGCGGTGCTGGGACTCGGGGACGCCCCCGCCCCACCGCGAGGTCGCGCGGGCGCTGGCGGAGGGGCAGGCCGGGGCTGCTCTACCGCCGAAGGTGCCGCCGGCCGGCCGCGCACTCACCCGGGTGTGGGGAAGGGACGATTGTGGAATTTAAAGCGCTCCTGGGACCGACGCGGGCCTGAATTTTCCGTTTGCTTCTGGAGTTGGCAACTTCAGGTACACCCTTGTGGCTCACGGAGCAGAATTATGGAAGTTTCTTAGAGGCAGATCCTGGCACAAAACTTGGGATGTGTGGTTGGAATGTGAAATTGGGGTTCCCATCCCCAGTGTTTGGAATGGAGGGCCAGGTGGGAATATGTGGCAGAACTCAGTCTTCTGGTAGCAAAATAAATAATGTTGAATTCATTTCAACAAATGTTTCTGCAACATCTGCCCGGTTAAGGCAACACGCACTGTGCATGAGGACAGAGAACACACTAATGATAGAAATAACGTGAATTACACATGCTGAAAGTCTCCCAGAGACGTTTTAAATTTATTGTGTTCCTTGGGGTAAAGATATATTAGTAATCAGACAAAGGTAAATGGTCTACTTCCAGTTAAAACATCTGACGTCTTCTCAACCACAGAAGGTAGCAGTTTATCTTGACTTTTTTTTTTTTTTTAACCACAGCATTAAATCCATTTAGCTTACTTGAATGAATGAATCTTAGTGGAATAGTTAATGCTGTGGACAGTCAGACTTACTTAAAAACAGGAATGGCATTGCTCACCAGCTTTCACAAAACCCGGAAAAAAGTCTGTAATGCTTTCCCGTGGGCTAATTTCTCCTCCTACTCCTAGTGGGTTTTGTGCACGCGTGGATATGGTAAGGTCTAGGATCCATTCCGTTGTAAACTACATAGGTGGCCTTAACCCTTTGGTTCCAACACCGTCCCTAAGCCTGCCTTGGTGCTTTGGAGGAAACTGGTTTGTGGACAGTGGACTGGATTCCTAGAAGAGCTTCTACCTGGAGTGTGGCCAGGGCTTTCCCCATGTGCCTGGGTAAGGATCAGCCAGGTATTCACCTGAATCTATACTTTTTTAGAATTCCATTCAGCGTCTCTTTTGGAACACTTTCTCTTATCTTTATCATTTATCTTTTAAATTACCCTCTAAATTGGTAGTCTTACTCCTTGCTCATTTCTCCTTCCTCCTCCCACCAAAGAGCACACCCTAGGGCATCCCCTGACCTCCTGTCTTGGCAGGAGGGCCCCTCTCCACCAGAGAAGGGATTTGAGTGCCATTGACTGGGCGTTGGCTGGAAAATGGTGCTGTACTGGCTGAGTTTCTAGTCATTTTGCATTCCAGTGTTTTTCTTCATTCTTGTATTAGAACTGGAAAAGGTATTCTTTTTAATGCCCTCCCACCTTTTTTTTGGGAAACAGAAAGCAAGTATTTTCTTTTTTGTTTTTCCTCTGTCACCCAGAGTGAAGTACAGTGGTGCAGTCATGGCTCACTGCAGCCTTGAACTCCTGGGCTCAAGTGATCCACCTCCCTCAGCCTCCTGAGTAACTGGGACTGTAGGCATATGCCACGAATTGATTGTTTTTTGTAGAAGTGGGGTCTTGTTTTGTTGCCGAGGCTGGTTTCAAACTGCAGGCCTCAAGATCCTCTCACCTCAGCCTCCCAAAAGCCCTGGGATTTCAGGCATGAACCACCTTGCTAGTTTTCTCCATTGTGGCCAGTTTTCAGGAAACTTTTGGGTTGTTGATCATGTCTTTTATTTTGCGTATAGAGGTGTGATCTTATTTAAAAGTCCAAACATATAGCTGGTCCCCAATTTTGGATTTTTTGACTTTTTGGTGGAGCAGAAATGATACACATTCAGTATGCACCTCGACTTGTATCCATATAAACCCACTGAGTTTTGACTTTTAAGGTATTTTCAGTTTATCATGGGCTTACTGGGATGAGCGTCTGCCGTTTGCAAATCTGTGGCGATAATTGTTATTCTCTTAAAAATATGCACTCATGAGAAAGGATTTACATACATAAATGCATATGCATTTGGAAGTATTAGGTCAGATGCCTCATTTATAATCCAGTATAGCTGATGGATGTGTATACATTCTGTTTTAATGCTTAATAAAGTTAGATAAAGAAATGAACTAAAAAGATCTCTTTTTGCTGTTTTCTGTTTATTTCATCCTTTGTAGGAAGTTAGGATTGTCTATTTCAGTCCCCTGCCCTCATCCCTGACCTCTTCCAGTTCTGGAAATTATATTTACATCTGTGGTGCCGAAGTGCTTTTGTAAAATTACTCGTTTTACAAGGGAGAAATTCCTAATACTGGTGTATGTCATAAAAAGGAGAAACTTTCTTATATGGCCAGATTGATAGAAATAATTGTTCAGATATTAAAAGAGCAACAACGTAAGAGATGTTTAGTGTTGTTTTAAAGTGAAATTATCATTAATGTTTTTATGGATAATTTATTACACTGTTCGGCATGTTGGTTTAGCTAATAAGTCGTGATGGCTTTAGGCCTGAGGACACCATTACTTATACTGATTTCAGGTCTTTACTGACCCATACAAACAATAAATTTTACTTAGTTGGGGCAGTTGTTTTTAGGTGGCTGTTGGTCTTGATGTTTCAAGAACAGACATATTTAGATAAAGTCATGTGAGATTTCACTTCCCACCTAGCACACTCTGGATGTGTTGGAGCATCCATTTACCATCCCTGTGAACTTGAACACGTTCTGTATGCCCTCTGAGTCTTATTCCTCATGTGGGGATAATAATTTATCTCACAAAGTTACAATGAATTTGTATTTATGGTAAAATCTAAACTTTTTTTTTTTTTGAAATGGGGTTCTTGCTCTGTTGCCAGGCTGGAGTGCAGTGGCGTGACCAGAAATCACTGCAGCCTCGTCCTCCCAGGCGCAAACAATCCTCTCACCTCAGCTTCCCTCCACTAGTAGCTGGGGCCACAAGCGCATGCCACCAGGCCCAGCTGATTTTTTTGTTTTTTGTAGAGCTGGAGTCTCCTTATGTTGCCCAGGTTGGTCTTGAAATCATGGGCTCAAGTGATCCTCCCACCTTTGCCTCCCAAAGTGTTGAGATTGCAGGCATGGGTTCCTGTGCCCAGCCAAAAATCCAAACTCTTTACCATCAACTGTAACATTTCTGCCTAGTTCTGAAATGTGTTTTCATCTCTCCCTAGTTCTCATCTTGAACAATCTTCCCTGCCTTACCAGGGTTCTGCCCTAGCCTTTCTGTTCCTCAACAATCTGAGCTGCTTCCTGCACCCCCACTTTTGACACAGTAGTTCTATTTGACTGCAATGTCCTTCGGTGGGTTCTGTGGTTGGTTAATTCTCAGATCTTAATGCCAGTGTCACCACCCAGAGACTTCATGGACTACCTTATGGTTCCTTTAGTAATCCCAAGTCATTAACTTGTATGGTTCCTTCATAACCTCTATTATTTTCTGTAATTATTTTGTTTACTTGTTTCTGCTGTTTCCCGCTCCCCCCCCCCCAAAATAAGTTCTGTGAGGGCACAATGCCAACGGTGGTCCTTCTTTTCTGTGTCCCTGACACATCCCAGGGGCCTGGCCACTGAGTAGGAGGGGTGTGGCTATACAGAAAATACTTGGAGTGTTCATGTTGTCATCTCTACCTTAAAGGCAACGACATGCTGTCTGCGTGTTAGAAAGTTGTTGGTGTTTCGTGGTGTTTGTCCTTTTTTGAACTGGTCTGCTTGCTTAGCTGAGTAAATCATAGCACTAATAAAACCAAAGTCCTTATAATTACATGGCCCCAACAGCCCCACAGAGAGAGGACTGTCACTGCCTGTAGAGCCATAATGTGTGTCTGAGTGACTCCAGGACCAGATTGACTTGCAGTGTAGATGCCCAGATCTCCTCCTTCTGGAAGTATAGTCATGTGTAGTGTGTAGAAAGTCACCATCCCAAAACACATTTCCCTTGGTCATGTGGCTTAGTAAAGTGAAATCTCACTTATCTGAAACCTCCCGGTATCCTCAGATTTCTGGTGTAGAATTAAAGCCAGAAGGAAAAACTTCTTGGAAATTAGAAAAGCCAGAGACTAGGCTGGGCGCGGTGGCTCACGCCTGTAATCCCAACATTTTGGAAGCCCAAGGCAGGCGGATTACCTGAGGTCAGGAGATCGAGACCAGCTTGACCAATATGATGAAACCCCACCTGTACTGAAAATAAAAAAATTAGCTGGGAGTGGTAGCATGTGCTTGTAGTCCCAGCTACTTGGGAGGCTGAGACAGGAGAATTGCTTGAACTGAGGAGGTAGAGGTTGCAGTGAGCCGAGATCACACAGCACCCCAGGCTGGGTGACAGAGCACCCCAGGCTGGGTGACAGAGCGAGACTCTGTCTCAAAAAAAAAAAAAAAAAAAAAAGAAAGAAAAGTCAGAGACTTAGAAGCCCTTGAT